TAATTCTTTTTTAATTTTTGGGTTTAATTTCAAGTTTTATTATTGAAATAAATACAAAAAAAGAAAAACAAATATGTATTTATAATTATAGTGTTGTTATTTGAATCGTAAATTCAAGGCCAATACAAAAAATTAATACAAATAATTCTCTTGTATAATAAAAATGACAAAAATATTAACAGCTGTCATTGTTTTCAGTATAGCCCCAAAACAATAAAAAAAAATACTTTTTTTTTTTTTTTAATTATTCGCACATATTACATATGTATGTATGTATAATGGAATTTTTATAGTTAAACACTATATGTTATAGAGAAGAGATTATTAATTAAAATTTTATATAAAAAAAAACAAAAAACAGAATAAATGTGAAATAAAAATTATGTCATTACATAAATACTTGGAATTTTCAATAAAAAAACCTTTTTTGAGAATTTCGAACAATAAAATAAAATAACATGTATCGTAAATGGTTAAAGAGATCAATAATACAAAATTATCAGTTAGAGTGTTGAGTTGATTTATCTCCTCAACATTATTTGTACGTATTTCTGTTTTAGGTCGAAAATTAGTTATACTTTCATAATTTGTTGAATTGAATTATAAAAGTATAACCTAGTAACTAAAGCATGACTTAATAATACAAGGAGAGTCAATTAATAAGTAATAACTTAATTGGAGATTTTTATCATTAATCTCTTTTAAGAAATACTAACTCATAAAATATGAGTAAATTATGAGAAAAAAGTTTGTTCGACAATTTCATCAATTAAAAACATCTTCCTCTGTCTATTACGATTATTACCTTTCAATACCTTACAAATTAAGTTACTCAGGCAAAATCCGCCTAAAATTTCCATAGAACGTTAATTCATATAGTAAAATGTCAAAGAATTCTATAAAATGCTCAGCATTAATTGTAAGCTAAAATTTTTCATACTTAAATCTGAACAATTCTCACCTTACTTAATATTGAAAATTTAAGTACTTAGTGTTAAATTTAAATAGTGCTATGTATTTCGAATTTTTGTTAAGTCGGATTGAAAATTAATTTTTATATTATTGAGTATACCAAAAATCAAAGAAATATTTATCAAAACTGTTATACACTTGCAATACTGAATTCAATTAAACATTAATAATTTTACACAAGACATTTTTAAGCCCAGTTCTGAAATAAAAACACACCTTATAATTTTTTGTAAATTTAATTAATGTACGTAATATTTGACAAGTATTACATGCTTTTTAAAGGTACAACATTATTGTTTTTTTCGTATTATTCAAAATGAGAATATTCAATGTACATAAACCACTCTGTATATGTACCAATTTTGTATTTAAAAATAATTTATTAAAATGAGCGTATTTTCAGACACGCATCATTAAAATTTTTTTGTAAAAACAAATAAAATAAAATGAAAAGAAAAAAATACTTGTTATAAGATGCGGAAATTATAAGCCTTGAAATAAAGATAAAATTTCAATTAAAATTAATTATAAAATTTTGATTAAAATAATAAGTATTGCTTGCAGTTATTTTTGTGATTTTTATTATTAAAAAAATTAAAAATCAATTTTAAACAATAATTAAAATACATACGTATTTAATAATAAACTGTATGCTTGTATTTTATAATAAAATATGCGGCATCTACTGTATGCTTGTACGTTTGCTTAAAATTTATTCTTTTCTTAAAATATAAAATTTAACCGCACTATAGCCTAGTTTAGTAGCACGTATGAAACAAATTTTAATAAAAATCATAAAATAAATTTTATAATTATACAATTTAAATAATTTTAAACAAATTTTCGATTGATTCAGAATTTATTTTTAAACATAAATTTGTTATTGAAAATATATTTATTTATATACAATAGCAAGAGGAAGAAAAAAATTTTGTAACTACAACCTACGCTCAACCCAAAATTGAATTTAAAAAATAAAATATATAATTTTCGAAATTGAATTCTTAATTATTTATGTTCATGTTTTGCTAATAAAATTTATTTTAATATCGATTAAAGATCAATAATTTTGGGAATTGAATTTCAAAACTGACCAAGTGGCATAATTGGAATTTTTCAGGTTTTTATAATTATTAACTATGAAAGTTATTTTAAAGTGATTATACAAAATAAAATGTAGGAATTTTGGAAAATTTTGTAAGATATTTGAAAATTGTGACGATATTTAAGACTTCATATGTTTAGTTTTTAGTATTATAATCATAATTGGGGCTTCAATAGCCCTAGATATTGAAATTTAATTTCTTTTTACCTTTAATATTTCTTGTCTTTTAAATGAATATTTTAAAGAATTATCAAAATTACTTAAAAATTCATTGATACGTTATTAAATTCAGAACAACTTATAGGCCCTTATGGTTTTGAATTACAGATTTTTTTATTAATTGTATGAATATTATAAATATTTTAAATGATTCCGAGAGTATTTCTGTGTGTATGCTTCTTAGAAATGAAAATTTTCCAATATGTAATAATTTTCAAAATCAAAAAAAAAAAAAAATCGAATATAAAATTAATGATCAACCTACAATATTTATCACCTTTCTAATAATAAATACATAAATTTGAAAAAAATAAATTTCTTTTGGTATTTAAAATTATTGTATCTAAAAATATTATCTGAAAAAACAAAAAATGTAGATAAAATGCTTTCCACACCAAAAAATTTTTTTATCATTTTTCTAATATCAAAAAATTTGAATCTATTCAAATTTCAATTCTAAATTTGAAAATTTTTACATAATATAAATATAAACTTGGAATTGGAAATGTATAAATAATATGAAAATGTCCTCTTCGATTCCCTTCTATATAGAACGCTCTCAAATCACTAAAAATGATAATTATGCACAATGCAGCACAAGTATATTCACTTTAGAGATAAAATTTTTAATATTTTAAGAATCAATTCAAATTTTTTTTTATGTTCTTTTCTCGGTAGAACATTTTTTTTTATTCAAAATATTTTCTTCAAAATTCTTATATATTAAATTTCAAATTTAAAAGAATCCCTTTAAAAAAAAAAATTTTATCATAACGTGATGATCTAAAATTGATAATGGTATATAAGAATTAGGCATTTTTGTTTCGTATTAATAAAAAAAAAAAAGAAAATATCAAAATATATGTGACACTACCAAACGTGTGTTTTTTCAATGTGTAATATTAGAATTATCATTATTGAATTAGAACTAGAATATTTTCATAATATTAAAAATAAAATAAAAATTTTTAAAAAAATTCTGAATATTTCAAGATTTTTTTTTTTTTTAATTTTCTTTTTGATTTTTTTTACTAATTTTTAAAAAGAAATTTTTGAATTTTTGAATTTTTATTTAAAAATTTCGAATAGATTTTCGAATAAAATTGAATTGTATCATAAATTTCTTTTTATAAAAATTAAAAATTCATTTAAGAATTTTATTTTAATTAAAAGAAGAGAAAAATATTATTTCAATAATTTGTAATCAAGGAAAATTGGAAATGCATTTGTCTTAAAAATTATTCTAATTCAAATATCACTTATTAAAAGTGGGTAACAAAATGTTCATACGGTGGTGACCAATCACATTTGTGAATTATTTGTAGCAAAGAAGAGTTCTCCGAAAATTTTATTTCATTATTTGCTTTGAGTAGTTGTATAATAATTGCTACATAATTATCTCTGTCTATAAGCAAAAGTTGATACACGAGTATTACAATATTTTGAGAAGCAAATTGAAAAAAATTCAGAGATGAACTCATTTCAGAGAGTTTAAATGTTCAACATTAATAGTAAAAGAGATTTTGTTTTCATAAATGAAATTTAATTAGTTATTTAATTATAATATTAATTAATTTATTAAATCAATCAAAGTGAATGTCACAATAATGTTAAAATCTCTTATATATAACACGTAGTTACGTAATTATTTTAAACGAATACATTAAAGAGAATTTCTTTCTTTTGCGATGCAATAATGAACTATCATATAACATTGTATGTATGAGAATTTTTAAAAAGTGTAAATATTATGATTATCTCCTGCACATTTGTTTCTCACATTTCGGACAGAAAAGACTGTAAGAATAATTATTTTCTTTAATTATATTTATTCATATTTTATAGTTGTATAATTTTATTAGAACTACTTATAGATATAAAATAATATTTTTTAATATAATAATCACAATTTGTAATAGCTATTTAGATATATTATATAAACTATACCTATAATATATAATTATTTTAATATAATAGTAGATTGAATGTAATGCATTTCAAATTTATAATTTAAGTTTTACTTTATCGTAAAATATTTTATTAATTTAATTATAAAATTTATTTAAGTTCATTAATCTTGTCATCCTGTTCGATGAAAATCCTTGCACGTTTGTAAAACAAAAAAAAAAAATTTATAGCATGAGCACGTTTATGAAATATATGAAAAAATCCTTTGATTTAATCAAAATTTAAAAATTTAATTTTAAAGTTTCGAATAGTTTGCTTGCAGTAATTGTTATAAATTGCACCCAACAAAAAAAAGCAACACAACCTTTATAAATAGTTAGTTAATTTGTTTTTATAAAATTTTCATAATTTGCTTGTATTCAAAATTTTGCCCTCAAACTTTTATCCTTTTTTCTTTTTTGATACCATTAGAGAAATTTTCTATTATTTAAATTTTACAAATTATACACTGAAAAAAAAATTGTTTATACTTTGTTTATTTGCTTTTAATTTTTTTTATTATTTTGGAAATTTAATTTTCCTTACACCTTTTGATTGAAAATTTTGCTCTTTTGTTCTAATTTGTTTACTTTTTTTGTTAATTTTCTGTTAACAAGAACAACATTATTATTTTTCTCTATTAAAAAAAAAAAAAAAATTGTTTTGTGAATAAACAAATTATGAATACAAAATTTTTTTTGAGATAATTTTTTTGTACTAAAACGTCCTTTTTTTCTCTTTTTTTTTTGTGTTACAGATGTGCATCACGCCACCTAATATCAATAATTATATCCCAGAAGCTTTCAGTTTTCTGGTGAGTCTTTTCAACTATACTTTACTAAATTTTTTACAAACAAATTAACAAAAAAAAAAAGAAAAACAAAATTTTTTTTTTTTGCTTATACTCTTTTATAATTATATACATACATACATATACACTCATATTAAAAAGGATTATGAATTTTGTTTTAGCTCTTTAAAAAAATTCATTTTTTTGCAAATTATGTTTCAAAATTTTTGCATAAATTTCAAAATTTTGCTTTAATATGTTTTTTCTTTTATAATTTTTGGGGTTTTTTATAACAAAATTTAAAATATTATGAATTTTTTTAATTGAAAAATTTTTTAATTGGTGTTTAATATTGATTTTTAAATAAATTTACTTGATATTATTTAAGTAAGTTTTAAGTTCTATTCTAATGTAACAAAAACATTGCCTATATATAGGCGCGCTTACAAAATTTTTATTATTTTGTTAATATTCTTTGAATTGTTAGCCATTTTATTCTAATTTTATTCAATAATTTATAAATAAAATATTAAATAATTAATTAGGTATTAATTGTATAGAGAGAGAAGTATATAAGCAAATTTTAGGTATACATGAATATTGAAATTTGTAATTCATAATTAATTAATAATTAAGTATAATTTAAAAATTGATTTGGCCATATTATGGTACATTGGATATTTGTGATGTTTTATTAATAATAGGGGATATTCGATTAATAATAAATTTATATTGAATAAAAAATTGTAAGAAAATTTTAAAAATACTTCCTTAATTTTGAATTTTTAGCAATATTCAAAATATATTTTCTAAATTTTGAAGTAGAAACTTAAAAAAATATGTTATAAACATTTAGATTTTATAAATCAAAAAATCAATGAATTCGAAAAATTAAAAGTATGTAATTATTATTACAAATCATTTTTAATTATTTGTATACCATAATGTGCTATTCTTTTTCAATATTATATACGTAAAAAATATGTCATTGATGGTGGAATCTTATAATTTGAGTGGAATTTTGAATATTATACACTAAAATATCTTGTTCATAATCGGAAACTTCCCAAATATACAAGTATTTAATTCATCTTAATAATTAGGAAAAATATCAAAATAATAAAAAAAATCTTTTTATTACAAAATTATATTTAATTAAAATACACCGTACAGTATATACAAAACTCATATTAGAGTTATTTGAAAAGAAAAACAAAAATTCAGTTCAACCAAATTACATAATAAATTAATATGTAAAATGAAGAATTTTCCCAATTATTTACTATTTAAAATAAATACAACAAATTTTACAACAAATTTATCATATTTATTAAAGCAAATTTTTCTAATGTGTAATGTACCCACCCCTCTACATATTCATATGATATGATTACATAATATTGTGTACATAAGGATACTATCCTTAAAAAATTTGCTCTAATCATATTGCATATCTCTACATATATAGAAAAATATTATTTGTGTAAATATTTGTTTTAAATTTCAAAAAAAAAAGAAATGCTTTTATTAGTTTTATTACATTTTTTTTTGTGTGTTTTTTTCTTTTTTGTCTAAAAATAATATTCCATTAAGCATAAAAAAAATATTTATTCAGCTTAACTTGTTGGAACTTTAATATTTTTTTAATAAATTAAATACTCTAGTATGTATATATATATATATACATATGTAAATAAGTGTGTCCAGTGATTTCTAAACTTAAAATCTAATTTTTCTAAACTTAATATTTAATTTTTTTTTTATATTTGTTGGTATTATTGTTTTGCTAACTGTTTTTTTTTTTCAATTTAATCTTTAAAGACTCATGGCACTCTATACGGCTAGCACCATTACAATACCATTTTCCAAAAAAAAAAAACAAATACTGCGTGATTTTTATTTGAATGCTTCTTCTTCTCTTTGAATTTGAATTAGAATCTTCTTTTCTTGTAAAATTGTTCTCTTTGTTTCTCTTAAAATACCTAAAATTTCTCCATAATATGATATTGGGTATTGTATTATCTATACAACTTACGCATTGTAATTTTAACTCTCGTATCAAAAACATAATTTTTTTCTCATCATATTCCTTATTTTTTCTCAATATTTTTTCTCAGTTATCGTAAAATGAGTATATTTTTTATTTTCAGTCATTTTCAATTTATTTTAACTATAAAACAATAGCTTTACGAAAAACTGTGAGATATTGCAAGTGGACATTTTCGATTGAGAACGCTGTGAGCGTCATTTTCAGTTTTTACGAGTATATTCACATGTGTAATTATTTCAAATGCCTTAATTTCTTATTATGCCATGATGTTTCTTAAATTTTTCGTCATATTTTTTTTTTTTTCATTTAAATAATAAAATTTAAATTTTTTTATGAAATTTTTCAAAATACATTTTTATAATAATTTAATTTATAACCTAAATATTTATTCAATTTTGAATTGCTTTATAATTCCTCAGTATGTTTATTTTAAAAGAGTCAACTAGGAGTTCATTTTAGAGAAGTACTTGTACATTTATACATGATCTACTCGTATACTTTAACATGATGTTATATTGGGTTTTAAAAATTTTTTTGAAAACTTGTGAAAATATTTTTAATAAAACTCTACTTACTCATACCCATGTCATATATAAGAAATCATTCATCCCCTAAAATAAACGGTATTCACATATTTTTACCTTAACATACTATCAGTATTCAGTATTCTGATATTTTTTTTTTGATATAAAATAAAAATCTACTTTAAAACCATTCCAAATTTTAAAAGTGACCTCCTTTTAACAATTATTTTATACAAAAGTAAATATAGAATTTTTGTAAATACTTAATGCATATATACATACATTTATATGATGTATATTAGAGCGCTAAATCTTGTTAACTTAAATTTTTCGTGTACTGTAAAAAAATACTGTTTCTTTCTATACGAAATTTGTTGTTTTGTTATTTTTCTGATTTCTAATTTGTTGTTTTTCTACATGTACATATTTTACCTGCCTAAAAACTCGTATATGTATAAAAAAGATTAATTGATGCATACACACATGTGCTTATGCACGAATATAAAATTCTAATAAATATGTGGATATATGTACGTACGTACAATGTGCAACATGATGATTAAAAAAGTTCACTAAACTTGGAAAGAGGAAAAAATATAAAGAAAAAAATTGCAAGGTTGGAAAGAGAAACAAAGAACAAGAGAAAAAAAATTGAAAAACAATTTTTTTTTTTCTGCTACTTATACTTATAAAACAGCAACATTTTAATGCAATAAATACACACAAGCTCATATATATTATATGCTGTATTTAAATAAATGTATTCATAAATAATATTGTAAAGTATACTTGCATAATAATGTCATATGCAACATATATGCCTGTGTGTGTATGGGTTTACTTACATAACATCATGTAAAGCGAAATAATGCACCCCCATTTTTTCTTTCTCCTAAAAATAAGAAAGAGAATGAAATAATAATAATAGAAAGAAAAAAGAGAAAACGAAAATTTTGAGATAACCTACATAATATCACATAAAAAAAAGTTAATAAATACATACATGTATACACATCCACATTCGTTGCATCTCTGCAGATTCATTCCCAAGTACAATAGATATATCTGCATACATTTTATGTATAAATGAATGTAAAGTTGTTACATGACTTATTTCTTTTTATTTTTTTTGTTGTAGAAGAATGTTTGTATTTTGTAATAAATTTTTTTTTTTGTCAAATATTACTCAAAACAATTTAGAGTTTCCGTTGGCAAGAAATTTTTAATTGTTTGGCTTTTAACATTTTTCTTACTGCATCCTATGCATTTATGTATAAAAACTGTTAATAAAACTCAAAAAAAATGGACAGTGTCACGTAATTTTTATAGTTACAGATGTGACAATTTTGCTGTACTCATAAAATCATAATTGTACTCATAAAGTCAAAATTCTAAATGAGCAGTATTTTGTTTTTAATTTGGAAATTTCTGGACTTTAAGGGAAAAAATGCAATTGGGAAAATTATTAATTTCTCTTAATTTTCAATTTTATTGATGGTAAAATAGCACCTAATCAAAATAATTCAAATTCTTCATTTTTGTTTATAAAATTTTAAATTTAATGGTGATTTGGAGTTTCAGTGCTTTATCAAATAATTTCCTCAAATTTTCAAGAGTTTTTCTGTTTTATACAAAACTACTAGAGATATTTTAAAAGTACATAATTCAATTAAATTATTGAGCAAGTGCATCAATTTGCTTCTTTCATTAATACAGTGAACCCAAAATGGTCTATATAAACCCCGAGGGGTCCATGAATACCTGCTTAGAGTCTATGAAAAAATATGAATTTAATTAAATAAGTTTTTTATTTACCTTTCTCATATCATAGGTGTACCTTGCATTGTTAAAAATTTCAATCTATCAAAAAATGTAGTAGAGGGTCTATAAAAAATTGAAAAACACGAAAACACGGGTTGTACGAGAGAAAAAAGTTAATGAACCTCTGCATTAATATAAAAAATGGCTTTCATTTCAAATATAAAATTAAATTTCTGTATAATTTCTGCCTATACAGTTTCTGCAATATTTTGGAATTATTTCAAATTAAATTTCTGCATTTAGTTTCGGCAATAATCGAGCAATAAAATTTTCAAATTTAACATTTTGGAAAAAAAGAATATCTGGCAAACCTTGAAAATTTTATTTTATTAAAAATGTTCTAAACAAAGAAGGTCGTCAACGTTAAATTTTTTTTATTCATTGCTACTTGTTTTTCGTTTTTGTATATAAAAATATGAGTACATATTGTGCATATTTGTATATATAATAGGAATACATATAAATGTGCATAATATGATAAAAAAAAAACAGAAAACAAAAAAAAAATTTTTTGGAGAAAGACAATTTTTCTTTCTATCTTTTCCTTGCTTTCTCTTTTTTTCTTTTTTTTTTAGAAAAAAAGTAAAAAAAAAAATAATTCTAAAAAAAGGCGCACATCATAGAAAAAA